CATACACATACCTGTGCTTATCTGGTTATTCTTTTCATCTTTTGAGTGTCTCCTTTTCTGTGTCACACCTCCCAAGACTCTCCCTTCCTTAGTCTGTCCAACCTCCCATGAGCAGAAAGAACCAATCACTGCCTTCTAGGGAAACTAATGTAACTTAAATGTAATACTCCAAATGACAATGTGCTTTCTAATTATTTGTTTATGTGAAGGACTCTCCAGTCAGCATGTAGGCTGCTTGAGGATGGAGTGTGTGTTCTAAGTCTACGTCATCAGGGATTAGATCCTGACTCATAGAGAAGAGCCCTGTAGATACTGAATGAATGAATGAATGAATGGGAGACAAAAAGAAATATCCTAGCTCTACTTGATATTGGAAGATAACTGGCTGAGGTGCTACATATCATATTAACCTATTGTGTCAGAAATCAAGTTTTCCTTTTATCCTTCAACAACTTATTATGGTTTTAGGGACAGTGTTATAATAACACAAATAATAGTCTCCACTTTTTAGCCCTAGTTAAGAGCTAGGGATCGGCCTAAGGACTTCACATCTATAGCAAGTATCTTTGCATTTGTCTGTGATAGGCCTCCCTTCTTCTGTCAGTGCACCACCTCCAACCTCCCCACACCCTGACCCAGCACACACTTTCAAATACACCTCCTCTTCTGAAGACTTGCTCTTCACTCCACTTCAATCCTGTTCTTCTAACTGGGGCTGCCAGTTACACTACCCACACCATGGGATCTGTGACCACACGTGGGTCCATAAGGATTCTTCTCTGTGATCTTTAAAATTGAAACTAAGGGAAAATAAGCACCTTGCTCTCAAAAGTGCCTCATGGACAAAGCAGGTTACAAGGAATAATTTTAGTCAGAATGTAAAGAGTGAAGAGACAAGAGTCATTGTTCCAGATCCTGGTTCCAGGTGTTACTTAAGTCAGAGCGTTCTCCTTCCATCACTAACCTGCAGTCCACTTGTGGAAAGTGAGATTCTACCACTTGCAAAGAAACCATCTATCTTGCAACAAAAGCAGCACCCATTATCTCATTGAATCCTCCCAACAACTGTGTGCAGCAGGAATTATCTTTATTTTAGAGATGAGGAACCAGAAGCTCAGAACAGACAGGAAACATGCCCTAGGTGTCCAATTAGGTAGCTGATGAGTGACTCAAAGACAGGTCATCTGGGTGCCAAAATGCAACCATCCCACTTTTCTGCCTCTTTCTACACTATTCTTTGGGCTTCCTGAACACTGATTTGAGCTCAGTGACCCCAGACATTATCCAGTAAGTGTAAATCTTCTCTTCATTAATAAACATAGATGCTATTAATTTTGATTAACTCCTGGGGGTGTAAGGGGCTTCAATTAAATAACCTTATAAAGCGCTCTAAGCATATAAATTATCAGATATTGTTTTTTATACCACACTATGAAACATTTGCCTCTTGCAATGTTAATAATAGGGAAGCAGAAAAATAGTGCTTTGTTGTTGTTATTGTTGTTGTTGTTTTTAAAGATTTTATTCATTTATTTGAGAGAGAGAGAGAGAGAGCACACATGAGAGGGGGGAGGGTCAGAGGGAGAAGCAGACTCCCCGCTGAGCAGGGAGCCCAATGCAGGACTCCATCCTGGGACTCCAGGATCATGACCTGAGCCGAAGGCAGTCGCTTAACCAACCGAGCCACCCAGGCGCCCGAAAAATAGTGCTTTTTTTAAAAGTAGTCTTTTGTATGGTGACTAACATAACATAATAAAATTAAAAAAAATAAAAGTAGTCTTAAAGACACTGTACATAATATTTGGTATCAGTAATTTAATCGAATATTAATACGCTTGCTTTGGAGACCAAAAGATAACCGGTATTTCAGAATTGAGTTTCCTCAAAAGACCATAAGTTAAAACAAAAGACAAAGCATTTGTAGAAAATTGAATCTTTCTACTTTTGTATATGTCCTTTTTCTCAATCAGTTAGATTTTTAATTGGTATTTCTTTGATCTCCACACTTGCTTATAGATCTAGTGCAACTGTGATCTTCTACGTCAATTATTGACACAAATCTGAGAAGAACCACGAACTTAGAAACACAGAAAAGCAGACAGAGTCAAACCAAAGGAAGATGGATTTGTATGTGAAACTAATGTTCCTCGCAAGAAAAACAGATATTTCCTTCAATATCAGGGTGCACTCAGATTTGTTTTCCGTATTAGTAACTTATTTAATATGGCAATGGGCAAAAGGCAATCCATTAAAAAGCAATTTTCCTCTTACCACAGGGTGTTTTATCATTTGATGTCTAGCGCTCAATCAGAATGTAGCCATCCTTTAATATTTTATGAGCAGAGAACAACTCATTTGGGCATGTAGATTTCAGAAATGTGGAGTCCTCTGTAAGCCTTGCAAAATGTCCAGAATGACCTTTGCAGTGCAAGCAATAGGCCAACCTGAAAACTCAAACTATAAGAACATTGGAAAAATTATGCCTTAGAATAGATAGTGGGCATTTAAAATAAATATGCAATCATTTATAACTAATAGTAGAAGATATCAGTCCCAAATCATGCTTATACTTTCTCAAGGGCAAGCTTTTCGGGGACAGGGACCATATCTGATTCACCTTTGTATCTGCAGTGTCCATCATAGTCCCTGGCACACTGAAAGTGCACAAAAATCAGTAGGTTTTTATTAAACAGATGAATACATACATTTGTCATCTTGGATGAAGGGTCACCCAGGCCCTGGGTGACCAAGCTCAACCTCGCTGCAGAGATGAGCCTGACCAGGTACTAAATGAGTTGTAGCAGAAGGCTGGAACCTTCTCTGTAGCAGAAGGTGAGATATGGAATAACACACAGCAAGAACAGCAGCTGGGGTACCCCCAAGATCCCCAAAGTATTTGCCTTTATCCACACTCTTCATCTCAGTTCTTAGGAATTGGGTCCTGTCCTGTTCCTGGCTTCATACCAGGTCCTCAACAGTCTGAGAGGGCTGCTCGGCACCTGCCAGAGGTCAGTCCCTATTCTGTACCCACCCCCCTACCACCACAGCCTAGAACTTGGCCCTCTTCTCCACGTTAGTCTCCCTAGCCTGAATACGATCTGTTCCCAGGGTCCCTACCTGTGACCAAGCCAAAATGAACACAAGTACTCAAACCACCACCCCAAATACTACCAATCTACTTCTGGGGGAAATGTGGAGGCGTAGGAGCACGGTGAAGTCGGTGAGGACATTACCCAAGGACACGAAGGTCCTACGTGGCAGAGACAGAACCCAGCTCCCCTGTAGTCCCAGCCTCCCCGCCTCTGCTCCTCTGTATCTCTGTTCTGTGTTAACTCATAGGACGATAGATACATGTCGGCTGGGCAAAGGAAAAGAGCAGGGGCTGGGTATGGTAATGAAGCCCAAAAGAATCCACTTTCTGCTGCCATCAAGGTGAGAACTGATAGCCCAAAGCAAGCCACAGGGAAGGGGGGAGCAAAGTGGGGCAAAAACAAAGCCATGACAAGCCCCAGCCAGCTAGGGCATGACTGCTGTCCAGCTTACAAGATGCTCTTTGTGAGGCTTCTTAGCAAGTGACCTCCAGCAGCTCCCCCCATGAAACTGACATAAACATGAAACAGTCCCAGTTATCGGACTGAGGAATTTGGTAGGATCTGCTTGATTCGGGACTTTAATCCTTCAACTGAATGAACAGTAAGCTTGGCAGCAGCAGACGTAGATCTCAACAAGTTAGTCTGATGCAGAGGAGGAGGGGGAGCTCGGGTCAAGGATCCAAGTAAAGGGAAACGTTCACCTCAGTGATCCATGAACCCGAGCGGACTGACACAGAATCTCTCAGGTCAGGCTGCTACTCGTCCCACACAAAAATGCCCTAATTTGGAGCTCCTAAGCAATGAGCTTTGGTGGCAGTTCCATGTCAGCTTCAGCTTCTTTCCCCCATCCACCCAGACTGGAGGAGGAGTACCGTTTGCTGTGCTTGGTCAAAGAGACTCAAATTCTTAGTGTTTCCTTACTATGTTTTCTCCATTTTCTTGTTTACTGGAGCAGCGCCTTGACTCAGTTCTTATGATGTAAATAAAGCATAACCCCCTCTCCAATGTAATCATCGGATTCCTTTCCATGAATCATTTCAGACCATTATTTTAAGCTCTCAAGCAGGTAACTGAATATTTATGCTTCCACCACATTACCATACACCCAACATCTCTCTGGTATAAACAGTCTTTCTCTGGAGCCCAAGTTATGAAGCCTACAAGGGAAGATGTGTATGTGTGTCGGCTCTAGAGAGATTGGAGGGGAGGGAAGTCAGCCACTTTAAGGAGGCTCGGTGTTGACAATGACTGCAGGCAAGGTTAAATCAGAGGCATCCCAACACGTTCAACCCAAATTATACCAATGAGCAAAAGGCAGGAAAATTATCATACCCTCTTTTTTCTGGGTGTCCTCTCCTAAATCTTGTAATATAGGTAAGAAACAGAGCAATAAGCGTATCTCTGACCACATTTGTCATGATCAGCTACCCATTTTCTTCTATAATTCGTTCTTGCTTCGAGAAAGCCTTCTAAACGAGTGAGCAAGAGGATTTTATTAAGGTATTCAATTTCTCTTTATAGAGAAAAATAGTTTCAAAAGAAAGAAAAGAAAATGATCGACAGGTAGGTTAAAAAAAAACTGGAATTTTAAAAAAGAAAGCCGTAGATCTCTTTCCTTAACAGATTACTAAATGCAGGGCTGTTTTAATATATTCTCACTTTTATAATATTTGAAACTCAGTCATAATACCTGCCAATTTTCCCATTCTTGGAGATTTTAAGAATGTTTATTCCCAGCACAGACGTGCAGAAATACATACACTGAAAGCCTGAGCCCAAGAATGCTGGGTCCATGGGAATGCCCATGCTGTCAGCCCCTGGGGAATTCTTCATGTAGGTCCAGGCACAGCCCTAGAAGTGGGGTGCCTGCCAGGCATCATGCCCATGTAGGAAACAGGTGTTACTTACGCAGCTCGCCCACTTTCAGGATCTCACACAGCATCTTGGTCAGCTCTATACTACTGCGGCCAAAGGGACATTCGTGCTTGTCTTCCCGGCTACTGTTCTCAAGCACGATCTGCAAGTAGAAAGGGAACAGACAGGTCAGAAAGGGAAGTCAGTTTGTGGTACCTGTCAAAAATGTTGGCTCCATGGTAACAGAGTAATAGAGCCACTTCAGATTACCAAACTAAGCCTTGGGGCCAAAACAAAATTGTACTCTACTTATATTCTCAGTACCTAGCACCTAAAACTCTCATGTTTTCCAAACCTCTTAAAACTTTCCACCCCGTAAGAGGATATTTTGCCCATTGGTTTACACTTACACAGAAGTCCCTATGGATGGGGAGTTTTTCAAAACGGGACAATAAAGACCTATTACTGAAGTGATAAGACTGCTCTCTTCTCCCCGCCCCCAAGTCACATCTCCGCTTTCCTGGGGATAGCAGCTCTTCTGGGCCTTCAATTCCTACATTTTTATCACGTATCTCCCACAGAGGTTTCCATGTTCTTACAAGATCTCACCCCTGGCATTAGTTTAAAACATTTTTTTTCCTGAGAGAGATTGAGTGGGGGGTGAGGGGCAGAGGGAGAGAGAATCTTAAGCAGACTCCACGCCCAGCTCGGAGCCCTGCACGGGGCTCCATCTCACGACCCCGAGATCATGACCTGAGCCGAAATCAAGAGTCGGACACTTAACTGACTGAGCCGCCCAGGTGCCCCAACACACCCCACAGTAATTGACTGGAGCATGCCTAAGGGACACGTGACACAAATGGAACCAACCAGAGGTCGTCCCTGAGACTCTTCCTACAGAAATGGAAAATAAAATGGTCCAACTGTGCTGACAGTACCCAAGAGGTAGGAGGCAGGAGCTACCTGAATGTGAGCCTGCAATAGAAACAAAAACATTAAAGAAAAGCAAGCCCGAATGCAAAGGAAAGCGGAGGGGAGAGGCGGCGGGAGCCCTGGCTGCACTGGAGTGGCTGGTGGCCCCACGTGCTCCCAGAGCAACGCTGCTTCCCTGTCCTTAGTGTTTATTTGCACAACCCTTCCTCCAAAAACTGTTTTCGGCTGGTCCAGGAAATTCTCCTCTATCCTTAAGATAGTTTGAGATGTCCCTACTACAATTAAGGGAGACATTGCACACAGGGATTAAACAAAAGTAAAACAAAGCACTAAAACTCGCTTTAAAATTACTAAACTTCCAGTTCAGATGTTGACAAAAGGAAAGATCAGCTTCTGCTTCTCTGGAGCCATCGTGGGCATAGCTGTCTGCCACCTCCTCACGGGCTACACCATCCAGAGTAGGTGCGGGTCTCCCAACAGCGTCCACGCCAATGCTGTGCAACAACTTACGTTGTTTTGCCCCCTAGACTAGGAACCCTGCAGCGGCGGATGTAGTGTTTTGTTCATTCAATCAATAATAGCAACTGAGTACCCATTATCTACCAGGAAGATGCCCCACAAACTAGAGAACAAGATAGACCAGGGCTCCAACCTCATGGAGCCTTCATTCTAGTTGAGGAAGACAGACGATATTACAGTTTATCACAAGTGCTATGAAAAAACCAATGTAACCGGTTGAGGTGCTAAAGAGCAATGGGGAAGGCCTGAGGAGGAGAGTTTTGATAACCAAGTGACTGTTGGGAACCGAGGATGCGAAAGAGCATGCCATGTCAAGGTCCGGGAGGAAGAATGTTTCAGGTGTAGGGATCAAGGACAGTGCCCCTGAGCTGAGTAGGATGTGTCTGGGACAGGCCAGCACACTGCCTGGTGTGTAGTGCGAAGGGGTCCGGGGTGGTGCAAGGCAGCACTTTGGGTTCCAAGAGCCCGAGGGGGCAGAGCACAGAGGTGAGCCAGGGCCCATGCCCCAGGGCTGGGTGGGGTGTCACTCTAAGACCTTGAGATGCTAACCCTGAGGTTTAGGCTGGCGAGTGACATGAGTGACACAGCCTGATTTGTTTTGAAAAGATCTATGAGTACTGAGAATAGAGAGTAGAGAGGAAGAAAGAAAGGAGGGCCTGGGCAGCATCCGTGGCAGAGACGAGGGTGGCTCAGACCAGGCATGCCTGGGGCATGTGGTCACAGAAAGGTAAGGAGAGGCAGACAAGGAATGAAGAAGACAAGGAGGGGACGGTTTTTAGAAAAGTGAGAGAAAAGAAAGAATACTTGGAATGAGAGAAGAAAAGGGGGAAGAAGGAAAACTAAATTAGAGTGCTATCTTATTGATATGGCCAGGGTTCCAAGCAGCAAAGCGAAGGGAGGGAGCTGAATATCAGGTGCACTGTTGAAAACCAGAGGAGGAGGATTCTAATAAAAACATGCTCCAATTATTTTCCGCACAAACACCGTAACACACATGTATATGCATATATTAGTATATGCATCAAGAGTACCCCGATAACAAATCAAAGGTTTGGGGCTATTTCTGCCAGATTGCATTAACACCGAGGCACAACCACATAGCTTGCACATTCAATCTCCTCTTCCACTTCTGCCACAAGCAATTTGCACAGCCTTTCCCATTACCACCTCACCCCCCTCATGATGGTCCAGGAAGTCCATGAACCATCCTGTTTTGTGAGGCTTTTCAACCGTTTGGAACATATGCTCACATAAATAATTATGTCTTACATATCATCAGGAACATAACCTTTATTGTCCTTGGGATTTATGATAAAAATTCTTCCTTGCGGTCTCTTTAGGGAACACATGTTATGAGTTGATTGTTTTTTTCTCTGAGAAAGCTGAACGTAAACTCCAACTAAATCCCTTCCCCAGCTGAGCAAGGAAGGACCAGTGCTAGAGTCTTAGAAAGGCTCATTCCCTCTTCACAGTCTCTTCTGGGCAAGCTGCCTGAGCACGAAGACTCATTAGGTTGAGCCTGAATCACCCTTTTCCTTTTAGGGGAATCCTTCCTAGTTCTAACCAGGAATTCCAGTTCAGGAAAGCAGGAGGGGAGAACAACTAAATTCCCATCAATCAGGGACTTGTTCTCTTTTAAAAATGTTGTACCTGAAACAGCTATACATATATCAAGGAGCAAATCCAAATCTCCTGATGACGGGAGAAATGAATGGAAACAACGGAGCAAGAAGAAGACAGAACATAAAGAAAAGACAAAAGACAGGTAGTTTTCAGCCAGCTCCCAGCTCCCAGTGAGGACATTCCCCTGCATTTCACATTAACATTCTATTAACATTTCATGAGCCCATCAATATTTAATGAGGATGTGATCTGCATACACCGTAGATAGAATTACTGCAGCCAATAAATGTTCCGGAAACATTTCCAAGGCATTGTTTATTAGCAGGCACTAAATTAAGGAGTCATTTAAGTAATCAATATGTAAATCAGCTCTGAGAAGCCCTTCTCTTTACTCTTTAATGTACCATCCATCTTATCATATTTAGCTACCTAAAGAAAAACAAACCCTCCTTCTTGAGTGGTGTCTTTAGACAAGGCAGACACAAGTCTTTAAAGTTACTTGTGTGGATTTTAAGGTCCACATTCCTGCAGGAAAGACTATGATTATGAACGTTACTAACAAGGTATTACTAGAGTGAGAGAGAATTCTTAAACTAAACGGTAGCTTTTTGCTTTAAAATTAACACACTAATCTATATTCAATTTCAACATTCTGGTATTAACCATGTTCACCGGAGACAATTTGAAAAGTTCCATTTGAAAATATCGAGGCATATTTTCCATCTTCATTTTTTTCCTCACTCTTTAGTCTTAAGAGCAAACATACTGGAACAGAAACCATGATGGATGAAGCACAAAAACCTGCTATTATCCCTCATTTTAGAATACGCCATACCCAAAAGAAGTCGTAACCGTCTGCATGTCTTATAAAATAAAACACTGGATATTGGTGCCATATTAAGTACAAAATGTGTTTTAAATACTTTCTGGTTTGCAGGCTATATTTATATAGCTTCTATCAACTGATCCCCAACAAGTCCAAATGATTGATAAGGCAGGCATTACTCTTATTCTCTTTAAAAATGTTGGCACAGAGGAAGAGTAGGCTTGCTTAGATCACAGAGCTAGCCTAGGTCAGTCATGGAATTTCATTGTTAAGTCTTCAATTTCCAAATCTCTTCCTGTGAAGACGGCCTTCCCATACATATTGTCATAAAATTCAATGGATTTCATGACTAAAGACATTAACAAACTTTGACCAATTTCTTCTATCTCATTGAAGTGGGTCTATAAATTCCAGCTCCTCCTAAACAAAAGCATAGGTTCTCTCTTATCTCATTTATCCCATGAAGATCAGTAGCAGTTGTTCAAGGTGAGTGACCCAATGCTGCATGGAGTAGCCCACAGGCTTTCCCCTCCCTAAATTCTGAGTAGCCCTCTGAGTGCTCTGCATTTCTTCTTCTCCACTGGTTCAGATCACAAACCTACTTGGCTTGGGCGTTGAAGGGCTGAATACAAGGCCAGCCACACTCCAGCACTCGCCCCTTCTCTGGTTTCTGGGGCCCCCTTGGTCTCAGCCTCAGCATCACATTGCTGACTTCTTCAGCTGGTTGTCCCCGACACATGTTCCTCCACATTCTGTTGAGCTCTCCTCTTCCAGGGTGAACCCAATCCATTCTGTCTTCCCCACAGCTGGCCCTGGGGTGAGAGCCTTGAGGGACTCCTCCACTGCCCCTCACCCAGGAAGTTTTCCTTCACATGCTGCTTTGACTCTCAGAATCAGATCAAGTATAGTGGTCTCTTCACAGGCCACCAAAGACAGTGGGTGAACTTCTACTGTGTTCTCTCCAAAGAGAAAGGACTGTCCATCTTGCTCCAATTCGGACACAAAGCTGCTAGGAGAAGCATCGAACCTAGAGTGCCCAGGCAAAACTAGTTTAACGTGCACAAGACATTCCACGTCTTTGTGAGATACACAGAAGTTACAGAAAGCTCACTTCCTAGGATTGTGGTGCAAATTCAATCACAAAACAAAGGCAACTCACCTAAAACAGACTTGACCCATTTGTGGTTTATGATCTCTTCACCGCCCTCCCTCTTCCTATTCCTGTGTGACCCCGTGGCTGACATCCACACAAGGCTTTCCCC